GATAACAGAATATAGCAACTATACTGTTCTCTTATTTTTGTGTTAAGATGGAGCACTGAAAGAGAGTGAAAATCCTGTTAACTCTTTGCTTTGGTTCAACTGATGTTGAACCAAAGCAGGAAAAAAACTGAGTACAGTGAGACTTGCTCACCTTTGTAAGCAGTATGTGTACTCTTAACTGATTTTGCACAATGGTCCAGGCATTAAAATGAAATGAAATGAAACAAAATGATCAATATTGTTAGAATCTCATGAGATTCTGGGATCTTTTTATGATTTCAGCAATCTCGTTTCTATGTTTTTGCATCGTTGTGTGTAGATTTTAGGAATTTCTCATGATCTCATGTGAGAACAACTGAAGCCTTGCAAGATTTCAGTGATAAAACAAAAAGTTGTCAGCCTCAAGAACATTACCTAAAAGCACATGAAACCTGCCTTTAGCTGCTCTGTTCTTGATGGCAAGCCAGAAACATACCTGCAGAAATAGGAATAAACAGAAAGATCTAACAAAAATCGGGTTTATGTCTCCTTGATAGCTTTCGTACCTTTTATTTTCCTCCTTCTAACTTAAACATGAACTGCAGTTCCTTAGCTTCCACCATATGTTTCATTAAGGGTTAGGAATGTGTAGTGTTGATGGTTTTAATGTTTTTATGCTATAAGCCGCTCAGAGCCGCTTTGAAATGAGATCGTCCCGAAGGTTCTTTTTCCAAAAAGCAACTGGACTTTCTTGGAGGTTTTTCCTTGAAAAAATTTCAAAGAGAAACGTTTTCAAGGGAAAAAAAACAAGAAAGTCCAGTTACCTTTTGGAAAAAATGCATTTGGAATATCCATAAGCTGGATGAGTGAGAATCTCCATAGACATTTGAAATAAGATGGGTACCTGAATGGATGGATGGATGGATGGATGAATGAATGAATGAATTTCATTATGGTAGCAGACTCAGACAAACCTCTATTCACAGTAAATATTGCCAAGCATAGTTTCACAGAGGTAGTAACCTGGTTGAGATGTGACGCTCTTCTCCAAATAAGGATTTCGTGGGAAAAAGAGGGGAAAAAACAGCAGGAATCAGCAGAAAAGGAGAACAGCATGTGTCTTAAAAATTATACATTGATATAATATACATATTTGTTAGGATGATTGCCAGGATTTATGATTCAAAAGGGTATGAAACTCTATATAACAATTCTTTTTTGGGGGGGGGAAACAAACAAAGCAAGAAACATTTTTTTCTGTGCTTAAAATTTAGCACAAATGATACACATTTGCAGGTATTTGGTTAGGCTGTTCATATCCTTATTAAAAAAAATAGACTTTACGCTTGAATCCACATTCTTTGTTAGAGTCATTGCTGGAACTTAAGATAGGGAACGTGAAGTCCCTATCTTAATTAATTCTGTTTTTCTGGAAGTAATAGTCAAAATGTTTTAATAGCATAACAAAATAGTGTAAAGCAGAGCTGATAATGTTCCGTTTATGGAAAGAAATAGGGCATTAAAACTTGAAATGGTCTCCTGCCGCCTCAGGTTTTGCAATTTGTGGAAATCTGGCGCCATCTAGTGAACTTTGGCAATAGCAGAAACAACTCGATAAATGCAATAGATCCAAAATAGGCTGGAAAACTAAACCACAAATAATAGAATTCTTTATAATGGATTTCTTTATTGGCTGCTGCTGGAGTTAAAGCAATCCTGCATATTAAAAATGAAAACCTATAAATATATTTTTTTCCTAATCAATGTGGCTTCAAGGCTAGGAGAAACTGGCTGTTTTTAATAGATTTTGGAAAAGGATGATCAATTTAAAAAAAAACAAGAACCGTCTGGTTAGACAGATCTTTAACCAGGTAGTTGCTCAACCTTCACTTTGCCTAGAGATGATTGCTTTATCTACAAGTAGTCCTCAACTTACAACCATTAGAGACCATTTGGGGCTGCCACAAAGAAGAGGGAGTCAAGCTATTCTCCAAGGCGCCTGAAGGCAGGACGAGAAGCAACGGATGGAAACTGATCAAGGAGAGAAGCAACTTAGAACTAAGGAGAAACTTCCTGACAGTTAGAACAATTAATCAGTGGAACAACCTGCCTCCAGAAGCGGTGAATGCTCCAACACTGGAAGTTTTTAAGAAGAGACTGGACAGCCATTTGTCTGAAATGGTGTAGGGTTCCTGCCTGAGCAGGGAGTTGGACTTGATGACCTCCAAGGTCCCTTCCAACTTTATTATTATTATTATTAAGTTACAGCGGCACTGAAAATAGTTACTTAAGATTGGTCCTTGCACTTACATCTGTTGCAGCATCTCAGTGGTCGCTTGATCAAAAATTTGGGTGCTTGGTAACCAGGTTGCAGTCTCCCGGGGTCAGGTTTACAAACCTTTTCAACTGGCTTCCAACAAGCCAAATCAATGAGGAAGGCTGAATTATTTTTTTTTTTTGAATAACCACAGGAGTCACTTAACAATTGCGGTGATTTGCTTAACAGCCATGGCAAAAAGGTCATAAAATTGGTCGTGACTCATTGAACAATTGTTTTGCTTAGTAACGGAAATTCTGGTCTCAGTTCTAGTCATAAATTAAGGGCTCGATGTATTGCAGTAGCACTTTCCTGGACATCCTAGCAAATGCCTTGCTAATCAGCAATAAGGTCAGCTAGATTGTGCTTCAGTGGATAGCTAAGCATCCCTGAAATATTTTTAGTTTGTTCCTAGCTGGTGGTGATTGGTGGAGCATGGGTCTCTAAAACCAAGCTTGAAACTTTCCAATATAACGTGGGAAGCAGGGGTTTATCTTATGCCTTTTCTGGATCACCTGGACTATGATTCTAAGTAGCATGGTCACTTCCTGGTTTTAAAATTAACTTTTTAAGCATGAGAAAAATCATAAAGATTAAGGGACTTTGGGGGCTCAAGACTAGAAAACAACAATTTAAGGTCCTTGCTTTATTCAAATAAGTGCTTGTCTTCATTCTTGTCTACTGTGCTGCAGGTAGTTAATCGTGGTGACCCATATCCACAAGAGGTGGGAGCTACTGTTCAAAAGGTGATGGAGAAACTCGGCCATTGTAATCCATATAGGCTTGTGTGGCAGTCCAAGGTATGTCATCCCAGGGAACTCTGATAAAATGCTTCTCCATCATTGAATTTGTTTGGGGTTTATTCAGTCTGAATCTGGCTTTGGCTTCATCTGCCAATTGTTATAAAGTATGTTCTGGTGCTATACATCAGTCAAATAAGACAGCTTCTGTTTCAGAGGTTGGGCACAGAAGAAGTTAAGGATGGTGATGACCGGTTAAGTACTTGTGTAAGAGATTACCAAGGAATATTAGGGTTGTCGGCTAGACTAGGAAATTTAAAAATATTGTAGAAGAACGAAAGGACACCACTTGTCTTTAGCTACCAAGAAACTGCAAGAACATGTCCACAAAGTTGACTCTATCCCAGTAGGCCCCTGAGCACCCTTGTCTGGGCTCCAAACTAATCAGTGTCAGGCAATAATTGGGTGGGAGAGTCTTAGCAGAGAATTCCAAGACTGGAGGCTAGTTGACAAATGTTTTCTAGAGAAAAAAGCAATTGAAAACTCCCAAGAAATCTATGGACGTGTCCATTAAGTTGTCAGGAATTGAGCTTGACTTGAAGAAGGTTCCTTTGTAGTTGAGAAAAATCTAACAAACAAAATGGAGGCTGCATCCTCCCTCCCCATCCCGGTCTTGTGGGCATGAATCCAGTTTGTCTCTTTGTATAATCCTGTTGGACCCAAATGACCCTCCCTGCCCTAGACAATGCCCATCAGGCCAAAGAATAGAAGCCGTCCACCATCTCCCAGTACAGCCCAAGGGCAGTCCTAACAAAGGAAATTGCAGCATAGAGAAACCCCAAACTTCCATCTTCCATTGATTGGTGATCTCAGTATTGCATCTTCTTTAACGATGGGCTTTCTCAAGTCTACTGCCCTCCTGAAAGGCTTTGCCTAACAGTAGAAATAACTCCAAGTACAGTGACAAGTATCTGCCTGTCAGGTGCAAAGGATTAGGGCCATTCATAAAGATGTAGCGTAGATGATTTACTGAAGCCTACATACAAAAATCTAGTCAACTAATGGTTAGCACTAAATTGGTTCAACAGAATTCACTTGGATCTCTTGTGGTAACGCAAGGCTTCTAAACTGACGACATTTTTAACTCCACCACCATCACCACCCCGCTCTGCTTGCTCTTCTATACTGCCTAGCAAATCAGATCTCTAGGATTTTCATCTGTGTAGCCCTCAACGTCTATAAAAAGTCTTTGCTTTTTCATTATTTGGGATTCCTCTTTCTTGTAAAGCATATTCTCCTGTGTCAAACATTTGCATTATGAAATAATCCTCAACTTATGATCATAATGGAGTCTGGATTTTCTCTTGTAAGTCATGGCAGTCATAAATTGACTTTTGTGGTGATTGTTAAGTGAACACCATGGTCATAAAGCAAATGCCACAGTCATAAAGTGAATCCATTCATTCCTGTGGGTGTTTTTTTGCTGGAAACTGACTGAACTGAAACTGGCAAAAAAAAAAAGTCTTAAATTGAACCAGGTCAATTTAGGGAGACTTTGAACAGTTGCTAAATGACTGGTCATTAAGCAAGGACTACCAATAGTTTTGCAGTACCAACAAACCCCGGAGCACTAGAAGACCTCCAAAGTCCCTTCCAAGTCTGTTATTCTGTTAAAATTCTTCCCCTTGCTGCGTTGTCTTTCACCTAATCTATATGTTTTTAGCCCACTATCATCTCCATCATGATATAATGCAGACCTTGTGGTTTATTCAGAACCAGATTTGGGGATACAAGTCTACAGCTAACCTAGAAGAATGATTAGGATTCCCTACCTGCCTCTAACCAATGTTTGGAAAGAAGAGAATGTTTTGAGAGGGGGTAGACAAAGCAAAGACTCATTGGAAAAGACCCTGATGTTGGGAAAGACTGAAGGCAAAAGGGGAAGGGGATGGCAGAGGTTAGATAGTGTCATCAGTGCAATGAGTATGAATTTGGACAAATTGGAGGAGAAAGTGAAAGACGGGGGGGGGGGGGCATGGTGTATTCTGGTCCATGGGGTCACGAAGAGTTGGACGCACTGTTGAACAACCACCACAACAATACTAAATTGTCGTTTCTAAAAACTCCCTTCTTTCTTTTGCTGTCGTAGGTCGGCCCAATGGCTTGGTTGGGTCCTCAGACGGACGACACTATTAAGGGCTTTTGCCAGAGGGGAAAGAAGAACATTTTGCTAGTTCCAATAGCATTCACCAGCGATCACATTGAAACACTCTATGAGCTTGACATTGAATATGCGCAGGTCTTAGCCAATGAGGTAACGCCATCATTTTTCTCACCACGGTTTGCCTGTAGCTCCTTAACAAGTGTTCCCAAGGTTCAAGTAAAAAGGTTTAGGATTATTACAGGTTGGGTTTTCCCTCACACTTTCAACGGATGTAATACTACACAAAGTAGCTGTGAGTTGAAAGATAAAATAATGCATGTTTGACATTGGCTCAGAGAGTTGAGGACACAGTTCCATTTCTGACTCAGTGGTTTTCAGCCTGGGGCTTTCTAAAGGTGTTGGCACTACAACTCCCAGGATTTCAAGCAGCCTGGCCAATGTTCATCTCCTGGCCAATGTCCATGTGGGCAGATAGGATTTTGAGGAGATGTTGCTTGTGCAGTCACAGATGGCTGCCTGAATGACAATAGACAGTCAGGTAACAACGGTTTCACCAAAGGCAAGAAAGTGAGGCAGCCCCACACCTTCCTTTCTAGCCTGCACAGCAGTGTTTCTCTACCTTGACATACTAGCTGGGGAATTCTGGGAATTGAAGTCCACATGTCTTAAAATTGCCACGGTCGAGAAACACTGGAATAACGAATTGATGTCGGCCTCTGTCCCAATCAAATGGAATTGGACAGTTGAATGGTGAAGAGGGATTTTGAAGGGGGACTATGAAGAGAGGCTTTTGAGAACGAAATATGAGAANTTGTGCTTGTGAAAATGAACTGAATTTAGCTCTAATTCCATTCCTATTGCTCTAGCGAAAGACTAAGCCTTTTTCCTTCTCTTATTCTTCAGTGTGGAGTTGAAAATATCAGAAGAGCAGAATCCTTGAATGGAAATCCATTGTTCGCCAAGGTACTGGTTCCCTCAGTCATGGAAAAACCCAATGAAAAAGACAAGAGACAACAACACAAAACAATAATTCTTACTTTAAGATTCAGAGGTTTATTTTGCTAATAATTTGGAACATAGCAAACATGATAGCACAACATTACTCACATTAGTAACCCATTGCAATGAGGTCCAGTGACATAGCAGGTCCAGCAAGGACAGCTATAGGCCAATGGCAAATCAATCAGGTCCAGTCCCAACTTTTTGTACCCTTTCTCATCCTAAGACCGTAGACAGATCGTCAGCAATCTTACACTTTCTGTTGACTTTTCTGCTGGACATAACTTTCCTCATATACCTGTGTACATTGGAACCTGCATCCGTCAGCTACTTTTAGTTCCCTATTTCTTACTATTCCAGTCCTTATGTTCTAAATCAGACATGTCAAACTCGCGACGTCATGTGATGTCGCGCAATGTATCGGAGCTTTTTTGCCATTGCCGGCAATGGGGTGGGCGCGGCTCCGGTATGATGAAATTGGCCCGCAGGCCAGCAGTTTGACACCCCTGTTCTAAATATATTTAAAACAAGCTTAGCAAAATCATATTAAGTAAAATACAATTGCAAACTGCAAAATTAAGCATAGCACAGACTTTGGTTCAATACTTTTTCCATGAGGCCTGATTTAGTTCACCTGAGCCTAAACCTTGCATAGAAGAACAATAATCAATATTTTCGTTTTCCACACCTATTTCCCTGAGGGAAAAAAATTATTTTATTTATTTATTTTTCATATTTCTGAACCGCCCATCTCCCTCAGTGAGGGAGAAATGTGGAATTCTCCAGAGAAACCACTACAGGTAGACTCCTTTTTCTCTGGCAAGGAATGGTTCTCTTTTGGTGGCCACGTGTAACATTTTTGGAGGGCCAAGGATTACCAAGTGGGTGGGGTCCCTTTTATCCATGGAAGCAGGCCTAGATGGAGGAATTCTGGCAGCTTCTTTTGCTTCTTCTAAAACAGGGGTGTCAAACTGGCGGCACGCGGGCCGGATGCATCACACGCAGGCCACGCCCACCCCAGCTCCGCAAAGGCAAAAAACATCACGATACATCATGTGACGCGATCAAATTTGACACTCGTGTTCTAAAATGTGATATGCCTATTATAGGGTTTTCATGTGTTGTAGGCAAGTCTTCTATCAGTTCTCTGATTGGCAGGCTCTAATGGGCGCAGATATGGGGCCCAGGGATATCTTAGTTTCCCAGAGGTGCCCCATTTTTTCCTCCACTTACTGAGGCCACTGTTCACTCTCATTTACATTTCCTATTTTGGGACCTGTTGTATTTTTGTGTTGATGGAATCCTATCTTGCATATGCTCAGTCAGAGACAAATCCAATTTGGGGCCTTCCAGATATATTGGAAAAGTAATTAGAATTCCTAATCTCAGAACATCTGGAGGATGTTCACTTAGACAGAGCTTGTTCTGGCTCCCTACTTGCTGCTTCATGGAGTTCTTAAACATAAAAATTATGAAAACAAGGGTATAAATAAAGGAATGCAATATTGTATTGAAAAACAATGGAACATTTCTGATTAGCAAATTCTTGCTGGTTCCTTTTTTAAGTATTAGTTGGTCATTGGTATTCTCCCTCCCTCTCCATTTCAAGTACAGGTAGTCCTTGACTTTCAACCATTCGTTTAGTGACCAAAGTTAACAACAGCCCTGAAAAAAAGTGACTTATAACCATTTTTCATACTTAAGACCATCCACAGGGTCACATGATCAAAATTTGGACGCTTGGCAACTTACTCATATTTATGACGGTTGCAGTGACCTGGGGTCATGTGATCCCCTTTTATGACTTTGTGACAAGCAAAGTCAATGGGAAAACTAGATTCATTTAGCAACCTTGTTACTAACTTAACTGCAGTGGTTCACTTAACAACTGTGTCAAGAAAGGTCGTAAAATGGTGCAAAACTCTCTTAACAACTGTCTCACTTAGCAACAGAAATTTTGAGCTCTATTGTGGTCGTAAGTTAAGAACTATACAGTATGTATGTATAAGTATGTGTATATCAATAATCACGCTAACCACCGTCATTATGCTTAAAGTTTTATTTGCTCATAGAATAGCTTGCTAGCAGATTAGAAATTTATTGTGATCATTTTACTTAAATGTATTTTTTCATACTTTTCAGGCTCTGGCAGATTTGGTCTGCTCACACCTCAAGTCGAACGAACTGTGCTCCAAGCAGTTAACACTCAGTTGCCCGCTTTGTGTGAATCCCACTTGCCGAAAAACCAAATCATTTTTTACTAGTCAGATATTGTGAAAATGTATACTGGGAGATGCTATCGGGTCATTGGCTGGAGTAGACAATACAGATTCTGTGAAAAGTGCCCATTTATTCTGCCTTCTTTTGCCCCTCTCAGGTCTGCATTTTGCTCTCCAAGTAGGATTTGCACAGAGGTGAAAGAGCTACTACCACTTTTTCCACTGCTTTGGTTTTCCCTTGAGGAATTTTGCATTGGAAGGGACACCCCATTTTAAGGGCTCCGCTTCTGAGTTGCTGAAAATCCTCATTTTATAAAATTAAACAGAATGCATGAGGTTCTTAAAATTTGATGGCCTCTGAAGGAGAGCAAAATTTTGATTACTTGGACAGGTGCTCTAACCTTGTTGTGCCAGAGTGATGTTGAAGAAAATCTGTTCACTTCGTAGGAATTGACCTTCCTTCAAAATAGGGAAGCTTGATTCTAAAAGGACCATATCTAGGGTTTTGAGCCAAGGATGCAGGCTGAATGTCTTTGCAGAAAGCCTTTCACAAAAATACTTGTCAAAAATATTTAATTCCGCCATTTTGGTAAGTGGTATTTTTTTAGGCAAACAGAGATCTGGCATTGAAGCTTTGCAACTAATAAGAGTCTGATGATGAAACCGTTTTAATTTTCCAATAATTTCAGCTGACATCTAATGTATAGATAAATAATTTGTTTTTGTTTTTTAAAAAAGAATAGTGGGTATATATTTTTTAATTTGATATTTCTTTTTGTACACAGTCTCCATTTCCTATTTTCACCATGCAGAACTGAAGCAATGTCCCAATTGTGTTTGCAAAGTAGTGTTTTCTAAGGTATTGCTATATTAGTCTTTTGTCGTGAAAATAGCAAAAGGTCTTGCATTAGTTCAGTGTTTCTCAGTCTGAACAACACTAAAATGGGTAGACTTCAACTCCCAGAATTCCCCAGCCTGCATGCTGGCTGGGGAATTATGAGAGTTGAAGTCTACCCACCTTAGGTTCAGGTTGAGAAACAATGCATTAGCTTAAAGCAGGGTGTCAAACTGGCGGCCCATGGGCCGGATGTGTCATGCACCAGCCATGCCCACCCTAGCTCCACAAAGGCAAAAAAACATTGCGATATGCCATGATACGTCATGTGACGCAATCGAGTTTGACTTAAAGACTAATAAACTATGTTTAACTATCAATGGTCTGAGCAGCACACAGTCGCACTACTTAAAGTGGCACTGAAAAGTTTGTGAACCCGTTTGAATTCTCAATACTTCTGCATAAATAGGATCTAAAACGTGATCTGTTCTCCACACAAGTCCCAAGCCAAGATAAAGAGAACCCAATGAAATAACTGAGCCAAAACCATTACCCTTGTCTACTATTCATTGAGGAAAATAATCCAAAATTAATTTTATATACAAAAAGGGTTTGCAAACTTTTAAGCCCCACTGTATGGCCTTTTTTTTTTTTTCAAATGCAGGGTCCTTTGCTACATCCTCCAAAAGTGCCTAATATCCCATTAGCCTTGTGCCAGGAAAGCTGGCAAGTCTTTAAATAGCATAGTATGGAAAGTTGGTGGTTTACCAGTGAGTTAGTCATATAAAACTTGGATTATCTAGCTCAGTGATAGTGAACCTTTTAGAGACCGAGTGCCCAAACTGCAACCCAAAACCCACTTATTTATCTCCGGGTGCCAGGTGGGCATGGCCCACTGGGTGGGTGTGGCTGTGGTGGGCATGGCAGATTGGGTGGGTGTGGCCAAGGTGGGCGTGGTCACCTCGATGTTGCTCGTGGGGAGGGACGCCTGTGAGGGCCAGGCAGGGTTGAGGGAGATCCAGGTGGTCTCTGTGGGTGGGGCGGTGCGCAGGAGGCTCATCCTGTGGGGTGAGGCAGGGCAAGGTGAGGCAGGGGCCATGGCGGTTGCTGCTTGACACCATCGGCCCCAGCACAAGAGGCCAGTGAGCGCATGGGGGCCGACAGTGTCGTCAGCAGCCACAGCCTGCCGGCCCCTCGACCGGCGCACTCTGGGGCTCCGCAGCTGAGGAGGTGATGCGGTGGGTCGTTCCCAGGAAAAGGAGAGCATGCGAGGCCAGGAGGGATGGGACAAGGGGGAGAGAAACCAGCCATGCTGGGATGCATCTGGCCACGTGGGACCTCGGCAAGTAAGCGGGCAGCTGGTTGAAGAGGGACAGTTGCCATCTCTGGGGCATGGCACGCGTGCCCACCGAGAGGGCTCTGAGTGCCGCCTCTGGCACGCGTGCAGTAGGTTCGTCACCACTGATCTAGCTGCTCTAGAACACAAACACCTTTCCTTGGAGAACTGAATAGTCAGAACTGGGCAACTGCTCTGTCTTTGGGTTATGATGATCCTTGGTAAGGCTCATGGGGTGGCAATACACTTTAATCCAAACCAAACCAGGTCTCTCTGGGTTTCAAGCTCCCCTTTCGAACCACACAGCCCTCTGGATGTAGACAACCTGCAAAGCACAGCAATCCTGCTCATGTCCTAGTCAATTATATCATGCGAATACAGCCATTATTGCAGGACTCTTCACTTCATTAGAATGTAACTCATGAAAGTTTATGTGATACATTTGTCAGTCTTTAAGCTGTCATGAGATTAAAGTTATTTTTCTGAAAATTTTAAAATTGCGTGTTTTTGGTGTTTGTATGAAGGATTTTTTTCCTGATTCCTTGGAAAAGTGCAGTGTGAAAGAAACGGGTAGTAAACACCAATTTCCAGCAAAAAGATTGTAAATTGGAGTCATGTGACTGCAGGATGCTGCAAGCAACTGTGAGTGTGGGCTGGTTGCCAGCCACCCAAAATGCAATCACATGACCATGGGGGCATTGGAACCCCAAATATGGGTTGTAAGTAAACCCTGGGGAGATCTGTTATAACTTCAAAAGGTCTCTAAGCAGCCAATTGTAAGTTTAGGACCACTTGGGATGGTTTGACTTCCTACTTTTTCATCCAGAAGGGGGAATCTGGATTAAAAACATTACCCTTTGTTCAAAATACCACTTCAGCAAAGTGTTCCAAGAGGAGATTCTAAGCTTGCTTAGGTTTTTTTTTTTTAAAAAAACACAACATAAACTACACTACTAACGTCAGCGGTGCTTGGAACTGACTCTTGTTAATTGTTGACACTAAAGTTGTTATAAAAAGTTCCACAAAGCCAGGCTCCTCTTCCTTCTAGAACAGTGGTTCTCAACCTTTTTAATGCCGCGACCCTAACCGGTCGTAAGTTGAGGACTAAACCGGTCGTAAGTCGAGGACTAAACCGGTCGTAAGTCGAGGACTAAACCGGTCGTAAGTCGAGGACTACCCAACCGGTCGTAAGTCGAGGACTTTCCCTGCCCAGGAGCTCCGCACATGCGTGGTTCTGCCCCCTGTGCCAGCCGAGGCGTAGCTGGCAAGTGGCAGAGACGGAGCAGGCCGACCACCAGCTGGCCCAGCCCAAGGGAGGTAAGGCACCCGCTGGAAAAGGGGGGAAAAAAATGACAGCCTTGCTTGGCAACCCCCGTGAAATGGTCGATCGACCCCAAATGGGGTCCCGACCCACAGGTTGAGAACCACTGTTCTAGAAACTATAGAAGCTTCTTTCTCTTTGGATAAATAAGAATGACAGATTATTCTTCAGAGCTGCTTGATGGATCTATTTATCACTTCCAAGCCGGCAACCCACAGTGAGTTTCATAGGATTTGTATGGATGCAAATTGCCTGGGATTTAATTTATACCAACCCCAACACAGGGCTGTGGTTGCCTAGAAGGTTGCACCTGGCAAGCAGAGGATTATAAATTTGTGGTAATGTGGCTTAAATATAACATGGGGCTATGTGTATTTAAATTGAAGTTTGACCGGAGAGGAGAAGGCGACAAGGTTGTGTGAAAAGGGATGGAAGAGGTAGCCTGATTCTGTCTTGTGTCACTTAATCAGCAACCAGCTCATTAAAACAAAGTATACAGGATAGCCTTCAACTTATGTCCATTTGTTTAGCAACTTTTTGAAGTGACAACACTGCTGAGAAAAGTGGCTTGCCACAGGTCCTCTCACAACCATCACAGTGTCCTTGTGGTCACCTGATTGCAATTTGGGTGCTTGGCAGGTGGCATGTATTTGTGATCATTAAGACACTGGGCTTGTCGGCCAGAAGCTTGGCAGTTTGAGACCCAAGCACCCTGGGATGGACTGGTCTCTTGTTCCTGTTTGAGCTACTGTCTACCAGTTTGAAATCATGTGAGTAAAATAGATACCACTTTTGTGGGAAGATAATAGCGTTCCATGTGGCTTTGGCGTATAACCTTGCTGGCCAAGTCACCATGAAAAATGTCTTCGGACAATGCTGGCTCCCTCAGCTAAGAATAAAAAGAATAGAACAGAGCTGGAAGGGACCTTGGAGGTCTTCTAGTCCAGCCCCCTGCTCAAGCAGGAAGACCGATACCATCTCAGACAGGTGATTGTCCAGTCTCTTTTTAAAAACTTCCAGCAATGCAGCGGCCATGATTTCTGAAGGTTGCTGTTCCACTGGTTGATTGTCCTCACTGTCAGGAAGTTTCTCCTTAATTCCAGGTTGCTTCTCTCTTTGATCAGCTTCCAACCATTGTTTCTCATCCTTCCCTCTGGTGCTCTAGTGAATGACCTGACCCCCCTCTTCTTTGTGGCAGCTCCTCAGATACTGGAACACTGCTATTATGTCTCCCCTATTTCTTCTTTTCTTTAGATTGGCCAAACCCAAGTCCCGCAGCTGTTCTTCGAATGTTTTGGTCTCCAGGCCTTTGATCATCTTAGTTGCTCTTCTCTGAATTTTTTCCAGACTCTCAGCATCTTTTTTGTGATATGGTGACCAAAATTGGCTGCAGTATTCCAGGTGTGGTCTTACTAGGGCTTTATAAAGTGGTATGGTGATGAGCACCACTCCACAGAATCAGACATGACTCGACAGAGGAAATCTTTATCTTTATTTGTAAAAAGAAGAGAAGGGAAGGGGTGGGGGTGGGGGGAGCACAAAGCTGTTATATAGTAAAACTGGTATTACAAGAGTAGTCTTTTATATAAATGTGAAGTTATTTAATAAAATAATTAACATG